GCTACCATGTGGGTGCTGGGATTCAAACCTGGGTCTTCTGCAAGAACAATCAGTGTTCTTAACTGCTGAGCCATCTCTCCATCCCAACTGTGTTTCTTTTAAGATCTATTATTTTTAATTATGCACATGGAGGTATGTACGCATGCCTGTGCATGCCTGGGCCAAAAGAGGGCTGGGGATCCCCTGGAGCTGGAGTTACAGGTGGTTGTGAGCCACCCAATGTGGGTGCTAGGAACCAGACTTGGGTCCTCTGTAAGAGCAATATGTGCTTTTAACCACTGAGTCATTTCTTTAGTCCCTTCAAGTTTCTTTCTTTTTAAAACAAATATTTTATTTTTATTTATGTGTATGAGTATATTGCCTGCATGTATGTGAGTGCACTGGTGTTGTGCAGTGCTGTAAAGGTCAGAAGAGGGCTTCAGATTCCCCTGGAACTGGAGTTAAGGATGGTTCGTAGCTGCCATGTGGGTGCTGGGAATAGAACCTGGATCCTCTGCAAGAGCAGTTAGTGCTCTTAACCGCTGAGTCATCTCTCCAGCACCACCCCAAGTTTCTTAAAATGGGGGCTGCTTACTCATTTCTTTCCTCCCCCCCATACCCTCTCTCTTCATCCTTCTTAGCCCCCTAGGCCAGTGCTGGGCACACATGTAACTGAAGCTCAACAGGTAACTTGAGTCAATCAAATCCAAAGGTAATTTTTGTCCCTTTGTCACTGTAAGGGTAACTTCCCACTTCCTATAATATTTATCTGTTTTAGTGTAGTTGTAGATGATGCTGTAAAAGTCTGGATTCTCTCCGAGTCCCCCTTTACCCCTCTTCCCTTACCCCACTTGCTTTTTTGAGACAAACTCTTCCTGTTAGTTCAGGCTGCCCTCTAACTCAGGATCTTTGTCTCAGCCTCCACCAAAGTGCTTGTACTACTTACTGCACCTGGACTATCCTCCCTTTACATACTAGTTTGTAGTGGGCAAGCTCTAAAGATAAGTAAATTTAAGAAGTGAAGAGTTAAGTAAAGAATTAAAAGAGAATGGGAATTGGATAAGCAGATTAGTAACTGGGGCAGGGATGTGGCTGTAATAAGAATGTTAAGTGAACAGAGCACCTGGAGTAGTTCAGTATAGCACTTGCCTAGCATGTGTGATGTGCAGAGTTTGATCCTCAGCTTGTGGGGAAAGAGGGGATCGAGAACAAGTATGAATGTGTGAGAATACAACCTGGAGAAGAGCCAGGGAAAGCCCAGCAAATAGCTCAGGGATTCAGGGTTTATAGGTTTGAGGCACACATAGGCTGTCCTAAATTTTCTATTAATATTTGCTGCCTCCAAAACCTTGACTAGCTGCTTTGATAATGAGTCATATTTATAAAGGATTCAATACCACAAAGCATCAAAAATTCAGTTAATCCAAACCTCATCCCTGCTGATAGCCTATGTTCTTTGTATGTCAAGGACAATAGACCATTACTTTGTATGATAACATTCCAGGAAAGTGTTGCTGCTGTTGTTGAGACAGGACCTGCTCATGTAGTCCATGCTGGCCTCCAACTTACTATGTAACTGAAGATAACCTTCATCTCTAATCCACCTACCCTTGCCTCCAAGTGCTAGGATGATCAGGCATGTGCCACTATACCTGGCTGAGGCAAGCTTTTTAATTTAGTCTAGTCTTTGGAATACTAAGTTCATACAATATTAAGGACACATATGACCTGGGTCTGGGTTCATGGATGCTATTGTTTTTTGTGAGATATGTTAAATTTGGTGCTGTGGTCTAGCAACAAAATGACTGATTATATAAACAAGCAAAGGATGGTATCAGTCATGGTCATTTTGGTTTGTTGCTTGGGAGTGAGATAAGATGATGCCATCAAATTCTTCAATGATGCACAAGCAATTATTTAGGAAAATGAATAATAGTAACCAACATTTGTTGAGTTCTGATCTTATACCTAATAGTGCACTAACAACATTCTTTTCCTAATTTAATCTTCAAACAATCCACAGGACCTGCTCTCACTATAATTCTTACCACTTCACAGGTGAAGAAACTGAAGCTGAGGTCAAGGAAGGGAAACTTGGAAACCCTGGGCTATCCTCCTTGTTCTCATTTCCTGGGGAGTTGGGACAAAGCTCTTCCTCCTTCCCTTCGCCTTTCCTTCCTTCCTTGTGCTAATTTGATTGTATCAGTTTGTTGCAGACTTCATGTAGAACCATTAGGCTATGTATTCAAGAGTTTATATTCTGTAATAGCCATGCCTGTTATTATAGTTTCATAACCACAGCCATCAGGAGGATACAAGTTCAAAGTCTGCCTAGACTACAGACTGAATTCAAGGCCAGGCTGGGCAACTTAGTGAGACCTTGTCTCAAGACAAAAAGTTAAGGTGGGGGTCAGCAGAGCATTTGCCTAACATATATAAATCTCCAGCACCGCAAAAACAAAGTTTATCTTCTTTGTTAGAAATTAACAACAAAAAGAGAAGGTACTCTATGATTAATAGTACTTACAAAAGGAATAGTTGTTTGGGGGATGTATTTACAGAATTTATGACGTATTTTTGTCAATAGGGTATTAGAAATGAGTAAATGAAATAAACTGAAACGTCCTATAAACACAACTAATGAAACAATTTTCCTCAATTTCTTTGTAAGCCTGAGATAGAGCTTACTTATTTTGTGTAAGTGGAATCCGGTACATGCCTTTGCCCCTGGCTTCCTTCATCAAACATAAGGTTTTCAAGGATCATTCACAATGTCATATGTATCAATAAGTACTTTGTTCCCTTTCGTGGTTAAAGTCACTGCGTCTATATAGCGTATATAAACTCTAGTTTGTTTATCCATTCTTCTGTCGATGGACATTTGCACTGTTACTTTTACCTATTGTGAGAAGTTGCATGAATGTCCATGTGCATGTACTTATTCCCTGCTTTTCTTTTGGATCTGAAACTAGGGGTGAAACTGCTGGGTCATGCATTAATCATTCAACTTTTATTTTGCATTTGTGTATGATATGCGCCAGCATGCACGTACCATGGCCCATGTGTGGAGGTTAGGGGACCACTTTGGGGTGTCAGTTCTCTCATTCCACCACCATGGGTTCCAGGGACCAAACTCAGGTCATCAGATTTGTGTGGCAAGTGCCTTTACCCTCTAAATCATCGTGCCAACCCATTTAACTTTTTGAGGATTTACCAAACTGTTTTCTACAGTGGCTTATACATTCCCATCAACAATACACGAGTTTCAATTTCCCCACACCCTCATCAATGGTTGTTTTCAATCATGGTTCTGTTTGGTGCCTGGAGACAAGATCTATGCAGCCCCAGACTCCTCAAACTAGCCCGAGGCTAGGAATGCTGATGTGTGCCACATCTGGCTTGATGGCTGTATTTTTATTACAGCCATTCTTTTGGACGTGAGGTGGCATAGCCAATAATCTTCTGGCAAAAGAAAATGAAAATGTTGCAATGGAACAAAATGTAAGACACAAGTTCACTTTTGATATCTTTTAAACCCCAATGTTGGTTTGTGAAAATATATATGAATGTACTTTCCCTAGGCTTCTAGAAATAACACAATGGAAGAAATATGTACACCAGGATCCTTTGACAACTGGAAGTTTTCTACCTACCAGGGGAATGAATCAGCAAGATGAGGATGGGTGAGGTCACCCCTTTCTTTTGTAAAGGTGAAGAAGGACTGATTAAGAACTAGGAGGAACAAGAAAGAACTGCCTTGCTTCAACTGTTTTTCCAGGAAATGTTTTTGGGAAGATTACATGCAGAGAAGGGGTGGCAAACATTCTCTTGAAACCCACACATCCTTGGGAATCTTCCTGTATACATTCTCCAGTTTGAAAATTGCTGAATGGCATCTCCCCTTCAGTCCTCAATGACAGCTCCACTACTGGTTGCCGAATGAAATTCCCACAGCTCTCACGATCTAGTCTTTACCATTTAGGAATCTATCTCTTCCCAAAAATATTTTTATTTTCTGAGTGCTTTGCCTGCATGTATATAAGTGCACCCACAAGCATGAGGTGCCTGCGGAGGCCAGAAGGTGCCCACCAGGTCCCCTACAACTGGAGTTACAGATGGTTGTGAGCCACTTTGTGGGAGCTGGGAACCAAACCTGGGTCAGCAAGTGCTGTTAACAGCTGAGCCATTTCTCAAGCCCAAGAATCAATCTCTCTCTCTCTCTCTCTCTCTCTCTCTCTCTCTCTCTCTCCTTGGTCTTTTTGAGACAGGGTCTCCCTGTGGCCCCAGCTGGCCTGGAACTCGCTATGTAGATCAGCCTGGTCTTAAACTCATAAGAGATCTACCTGCCTCTACCTCCTGAGTGCTGGGATTAAAGATATGTGCCACCACACCCAGCTATGAATCTGTTTAAGTGACTGTAAAGAAATCCGTTTTATTTTCATGTTTGGCTTCAGGAATTTTATTCTATATTAATATTTCATGCCAGATATAATACCTGCTCAGGGAAAGAAGATAATGTTGTTGTAGATCTTCAAGAATGTACATTTGCTTGGACAAAAAAGGAGAAATGCATTCTAGAGAAGAGTTCAGCAGTTTTAAGAGATTCAGACTAACCTTAATTGCTTAACAAGTAAGCCTCACTGGCCATCTTTCTGTTTAGTATGTCAAGCTTGTTCTCGCCTTAAGATTGCTGTACCTGTTTATCCCACTCGAATCCTCTTCTCTGGGTCTGCCATTCAATGATGGCAGCTCCTGCTTGCCATTCAGAACTCACTGTGTCATCTCCTCAGAAAGGCCTTCCCTGGCCATCCAAATATAGCCACCCAGTCACACTATCACACTGCAATAAGGGACTGGAAATGTAAAGTGCTTCCTTAGCATGCATGAGGGCCTGGATTTGATCTCTATTACTACAAAAACAAACAAATATGCAACAAGGAAACAGAAAATATGGCTCCAGTGAAAATAAATTTGGGATGGCAATATTCTGCAATGTATTGATAGATGTGAAACATTAAAACTTCAGGAATATTCCACTTTATTGGCTAGAGAAGTATAAGAGACTTAGACATATAAAAGGTAATAGCATAGAGTCGTTTCTGGGGGAGGATAAAGTTTCAACGAGGTGTACGTCAATGGGGGACGTATATCTTTCAACAAGAGAACAAAAAGCCATTGGATTTGGAAAAATCATTTTGTGACCATAAAGTAAAACGTAGAGCTTTAAGAAGCACATAGTAGGCATATACCATTATTGGAACAATTTGGTGGTAAAGGAAATGAATACTCTTAACAAGGCAGAGGGGTGGCTTTTTGTGAGACCTATTCATCTCTCAAGGGAAATGAGTTAGTGAACAGAGAAGACTGAATATGCTGTAGGGGAGGGGTTAACCCGAGGTTAGTGGACCCCTTTGGGAGTTGAGTCTCCTTCACTCTGAAATCCTGTTAAATGCAATTTTATGTGTGCATGGGGGATAGGGGTTGAGGATTTAAAGCTTTATTATTTTCCAGAAGACCACTACCCAAACGTTAGTAATCACTGCCAAAAAGTAAATGAATAGGTTAAAGGGGTAGGTAGAGTAAACGGGGACAAGCATCTACCTATCTAAGGAAACGCTACGCACAGACGGAAAAGTTTGCAATTGCATCATCTCATTAAAATAATAAAGGCAGAGTTAGAAGCCGGAGTCCTGTGCGAACATGCTCCAGTGAAGAGTGAGGAAGCGGGGCAGAAGGAATGGACAGGGGGCCTGCGTTCCTCAGCGGACGTTGCGGCTCTGGCACTGCTTCCCTGGGGGCCTCTGCACGAGATAGTGGCCTGTGGTGGTCCTGAAGGCTGGGTGGTGTTGGCACTGTTTTACAACCAGCGAGGGAGGACCTCTCAGGACTCCAGGTGACCCGACTGGGAGAAAGCGCGGTCTCATCACAAGATAGTCATCACAGGCAGCGGGGCTCATCAGTGAGTTAGCCTGGGGACCAGACGCTGTTTCATATTCGGGACAAGCAGTACCCGGAGCATCCGCACAGCTGCTCTGGGGATGCTACCCAAAGTCCTTGGCCGCCTGTCGCCACCTCTGAATCACCCCCTCCCATTTCCACATCTTCTGAGTCCAGCTCAAGGCCTGGTGCAGAGCCTAACCACGCAGAACTCATTCGTTCACCCACTGCAGGGTTCCCTGGGCGACTCTGAGTAGGAAGCCCGATGCTGGGACCGGGGCCTGAGACACAGGGTCTTACACTATCCGCCCACGGCCTGAGGGCCAGTCACTCCGGACCGCCCCGAGTCTCACCGCGGTTCTCCCTTCATGGTCATTAACAGCTAACTAGATCCGCATGCTGGACATGCCGGGGGATGCCAGGTCCAGGCCAACTCCGCCTCCTCACTAAGATCCCGCGGGAACAGAGCTTCCAGGGCCAAGGCCAAGAGTCTTGGAACTACGCGGCCGGACACCGGCTGAGCGCTACAGACCGAGTCGTAACGGCGGCCGAAAACGCTTTGACTTTGAAGGCCTGGCACCGCCCCCTCTGCCCAGCAGTCCGCCCGCAGCGCCCCGCGGCCCCACGGGCGTCGGGCTGGAGCCGGGAGCGGATCCCCGCCATCCCCGAGCGCTTCTTCCCTGAGCCAATGGAAGAGCGAAGTGGTGTAGGCCAATGGCTGCCACCAAAGTACCCAGAGCTGTTGAGCCTATCAAAGTTCAGTCTTGCGTTTGTCCCGCCCCTATAGACCGGAGGCGGGCCTATAGGGCAGATCCGCCAATCAGTGGCCAATAAACAAGAAGCTTCCAAGATCAAAGGGGAAGGGGCGGGACCTACGGGGCGGCAGCCCCTCCCGGGCGGAAGAGTGACAAGCAGTTCCGCGAATACTAAAGATATATTTTCTCTACGTAAAAAAGGGTGTGGCCACATTGGGGCTTGCACCAATGGCTGGTTGGGGGGCGTGTCCACGGGGGCCAAGCGGGAGCCGGAGGCCCCGGGCTCTCTGGGCCGCGCCTGAGGCGGACGCAACGGGGCCGGGGGGCGGCGTCGGTAGTGGCGGCGGCGGCGGGGCTGGGCGCCGCGGCTGGCCCGAGTGGATGGAGTTGGAGGGGCGGAGTGCAGGCGGTGTGGCGGGAGGGCCGGCTGCTGGGCCCGGGCGGAGCCCCGGGGAGTCGGCGCTGCTGGACGGGTGGCTGCAGCGGGGCGTGGGCCGGGGGGCCGGCGGCGGGGAGACAGGAGCCTGTCGGCCCCCGGTTCGGCAAGATCCGGAGTCCGGCCCAGAATACGAGGCGCTGCCGGCTGGAGCCACTGTCACCACGCACATGGTGGCGGGCGCCGTGGCCGGGATCCTGGAGCACTGCGTGATGTACCCCGTCGACTGCGTCAAGGTGAGACCTGACCCGGCTCCGATTCTGACCTGGGGCTGACGGACATTGAGCTTCGGGTAGAGCCAGGATCCCGACCAAGAGCCAGAACCGACGGGTTCCTTGCTGGCTCTTACCTCTACGCACGATTTGAACCGATACTCCATGCGAGCAATGTCCCGGCTTGGGAGATGAGTTCGGTCGGGAACCAGGACTTATTTCTAACGGTTAGTGAGATCCGAATCGAGACTGGATCTAAACAGGAATAGGGTGGGATGGGAGATCCCGAAGCACAGGTAAGTGGTATAAACTCGACTAAGGTGAAGTCAACTGACATGAATCAGACTATGAACTGGATATGATGGCTTGGCTTGAGATATGCTTCTGATAGAGGAGCTTTTTACAAGCTCCTTTTTGCGACTTCTCTTAAAAGTGACGGGACAGGAACCGGAATCAGGGATCTCTCATTTCGATAAAAGGGCATTTTAAATCTTAACCCATGAGTGATTGGAAATCATTATGCAATCAAAAGAGAGAGTTCTAGACTGGAATGGATATGGGAAAACTCATGTTAAGGAAAAGGTTTCGGTTTCTCTGTGAAGCAAGCCCACCTATTTCCTGAACATAAAAATTGAGCTGGGATTGAGACTACGTTTGGGGAGCACATCAGCTCCTACACAACAGCATGAAACTGATAGTGTATTTTGGTGCAGAGGGGAGGTGGGGGAGAGTGCCTGAACTTGACAAAAAGGTACGTGGTGCCTAGGAGGGAAGTGTGATGGTATTAGGAAGTAGATGTAAGTGTGAAAAAAAAAATGGAATGAGATCAACAGGACGATTGGTGTTGAAGGTAAAACCAGTTGCATCCAAAACCAAACAGGATGATTGATGGGCATACAGGTTAGATCCTTGGGAAGAAAGCTGGGTGAAGATGGCAACAGATTATTGTTCTTTATAATTCTTATTCTCATAAAGGTGCCACTAGGTGAGGTCTGAATTGAGGGAGTAATCTTGAGGGGACTGTTAAAATTGCTGTGGTACAGAATGGTGCTTGCTTTACAGGATTTATAATAGTCAGAATGCTGTCAGTTCTTCGATGTATGTTTTCTCCTCAAATTAGAAAACTGTTACATCCAACATTAAAAAGAAAAGAAAAAACTGTTATATCCAAAAGAGTATCAACTTGGGCAATGCAAAATGGGTCCATTTTCTTCTGCTTGTCTCTGGTTCCAGTACTATTTCATATTTTCATTAGTGATGTGAATGAGGAAATGGGGAAAGTGCTCATGAAGCTTTGTGAATGACATTGAGTTTGGCCAGTGTTTTAGCACAGTACCGGATAACTCTAACAAGTACCATACTTACTGTAAAATGTGGTTAAGTGCACCTGAGTGAGGCGAACATTTGCTCTTTAAGTATCCTTGTCAATTGAGAATCAGAGGGTGACCTGGATCCTAAGGTTTGAGATGTTCTTTGGGTAGGTGCTTTTTCAAATTCCTTGCTGGAACTTCTCTTAAAAATTTGACTTAAATGTAAAACCCGTGAGACAGAAATAACTATTGAAATGTAAAATGAATAAATAGAAATAAAAATGATTCAGACATGCTGTACTTGCTGTGGGTTGAATGTCTGAGTTAATAATGCTACATATACAAAAGTTAATATGATCTAGCTGCAGAGTAATCTCACTCTGATTGTGAGTACAGTGCAGGGTGCTATATTTCAGGATAAGTATCAAGTGGAAAAGGGATCAGAGAATGCAGTGAAAATTATTTAATGGCTTGGAAAATACAGTGTGATAATGTGACAACTTAAAAGTGTTACTACAGGGACTGGAGAGGTGGCTCAGTGAGTAAAATGCCTGCTGTGCAAGCCCGAGGACCTGAGTTCGGATGCCCAGCTCCCATGTGAAAAGAGTTCAGGTTGAGAGACCCTGTCTCAAAAAAATAAGGTAGAAGGTGATTGAGGAAGATACCCAGTATGAACCTCTGGCCTCCAAACACACACACACACACACACACACACACACACACACACTGAGAGAGAAAGAGAGACACAATGAGCCTCTCGCCCCCAAACACACACACACACACACACACACACACACACACACACTCAGAGGGGAAAGAAAAAAAAGAGGAAAAAGCTACTACTTACCAATTTGACAGTTGTCTTATTTTACAATATAATGGGAGGCTATGTCCTTACTTCATATATAACACTTTTCTGGCTATAAATATTTTATAAAATACCCTCCTTAATGAGGGCAAATCTTTGTCCTATGACAAAAAACAATCAAAAGATTGTGTAGTAAAAGAAACCACTCAGAATCAAAAATGGCAAATCAGGTAGGCCATATTGCCTGGTCTTAAAACATACAGTTGGGCTGGAAAACACAATTGATTTACTTCCAAGGCCTATAAACCCATTGAGGGAACACAGGGGAAAGGATTTCCAAAACACTTTTCATAACCTCAGCATTATTGGAGTACGTCACTTCTGGCCTTCCAAGGTAACTATTTTGAAGCATAGGTCCTAACCATTTATATAAGCTTTGAGATTTTTGTTTTTAAAAAATTAGCCTTATAGTATTACAGTCTTACTTGCAAACCCTAAAGAATTAATTATTTGAATTGAAGGAAAAATGCCTAGGAGTCTTAAAAAATGCAATAGCTTAACTTTGAAGAATAATTTTTACTTGCTGTTTAATGCTGGGATTTAAATAATGAGAAAGTAGCCCAGTTTGAGTTAGTATCCAAATGTCAGATGCTTTTGCGTAGCCATGAATGTAACTTACATCCCTTCTTTTAGAAGGGGCTTCTGAGTTAATTTGTCCCTTGGCCACTATTCTTTTTCTTTCCTTTAAATGGATGATAGAAAGGAAAAACAGCCCAACCAGACCTAAGATTGTGCTGGAAACAGATATCAGGATTGGGCAGCCACAGTGTTTGCAAATGAAAGCTGACGTTGCCTCTTGGCATGCAAGCATGTGTATCCCTAGCCACTTAATCAGGGTCAAGTTGACTTAAAATATCCTTGGGAGGGACCATGGGAAGTCAACACAGCTTGCTAGGCCATGGTTATCAAGCTAGCTATTTCCATGATCATAGCAGGGAGGTTTGGGAACTGAGATAAATTGCAGTCTCAGAAGCATCAGACTTTATCTATAGGGACAGGCTCTGCAACCCAAAGCAGCAGAACCTTTTTCAAAGTCTTCTGCCTACCTCCCCTGTGTAAGGTACTTTTTTGTGTCCTGCAGTGCTGAAGCAAGTCTCAACCCGCATAGTATAGTGCAGAGGGAAAGGGCAAAGAGAAATCTTTTTTGAACTCCAGATGTTAAGGGTTATCTATATACATTCACCAGTAAAAGGTTAGGAAATACAAACATTGTCTTACTTGATTTTCTTGCACCTCATAATGATAAACAAGTGTTCGGTAAATGCCCATTGTTCTTACATTCCAAGCACCGTCTGAAATCCTTGACACCACTGACATTATTTCATAGATAAAGCATGGAGAACAGTTAGGTAACTTGTCAAAGGTCACAGAGTTGAAGTGGCAGAGTCATGATCTGAATCCAGTGTGTGACTCATCAGTCTTCCTTATAGCCTAAAAACAGATTTCAAGAATCACAAAAGTGAAAGAGTTTTACAATAGCGCTTATCCTTGAATATATATATGACCTTTAGATGAAGAGCTCAGTGTGCAATGGAAGTTATTATGGACCCAGAGAAAGTTAAAAGTAAACACACACACACACACACCTGGAGAATGAAACCTGATTCATTAGTGGCTAAGGATCAATTAGTTGCCTGTATGCAAAGTGATTTATATTATGCTTCTGTGATCTATAGATTCTTAGATATGAACAAGTATATCTTAAAGTCATATTTTAATACATTTATAGTACTTTATGAATTGACCTAGTTTTTACATAATCAACATAGTATGATAATATGGCCATTTTAAAGCTCGGTGACATAGCCAAGATGGGGCCCATTTGGCAAAGCTGGCATTCAAACTCAGGCTTCCTGACTCAAATATGACTTGACTTGACCAAACTACTTAACCTTGCATTTGCTTTGCTTTTCTTCAGTGCTAAGCAGTGTTTTTTCATACTGGAGGTTTTCATATATTCTTAGAGATTTCATCTTTCTATAAAAGGTACATTTATTGGCTCAAAAATATGAGCATCCATGCTTGTTTTTGTATTTGGAATATTTTATACATAGGCCTTCTTCATAGGGGTGCACTTTTGTTGATTCAGAATTAGCGAATTAGATTTAGATGTGTTTGTAAATATTTGGAGTAA